AAAGCACCGTCTTAGAAGAAGTAAACCCACCCTATGTGAACCTGAGGCTTTACTTTCATAGTCCGCTATCATTTGTGATGCCATCTCCCATTTTAGCAGCTGGAATTAGTTCCGTGCCTCTGCCTTCAATCTCTATAGGTAGTTATGTGGCTTAGGGACCCAGAAACTAAATCAATGGCGCTGTAGTTCTGAAAGGTGACTGATCTTTAATGAAGTAAAAGAGAGGTGGACTGGGGAGGTGAACAATGACCAAGGCTTGAGGACTCTGTCCTAGCCTACTGATCCTCCAACCCTGAGAAGAGAAGACAGCTGCAGAGATGCTGGCAGAGCCTTGAGAAGAAGCTACCTCCACTTTTCATTAACCTCCTCCCCTCTTGCCATTTATGAGGGCCCTCAAGTAGCTCTGAAGGCTTTACTTGTATCTTGCACCAGTAGACCAAAGCATCACTATGTGTCCTCTAGAGACAAGGAAATATCATTTTGGAGGAAAGATTTTCAGCACGCCAAAGAATCTATTTCATTTTTGTTTAACTCAACTGAAGAGAAAAAGAAAAATATGGTCACATGTGGTATATATAATAAGTAGAAGACAAGAACTGCATGGAATTGTAGATACTTGAATGATTAACACAATGTAGAACTGGTATCAGAGAACTGGTCAGTGAGGGTCAAGTTGATTTGTTTCTAGTTCTCTGACCTTGACAAAGTCATTCAAAATTTCCAGGCCTCAGTTTTTCCCATAGCAGGGTTGGACCAGATACAGATGTGAAAATAAACAAAATCTAAAAACTGTTGGAACTCCAAAAACACTTCAAGGTTTGTGAGAGATGTGACTGTAATTTGAGTCATGTAGCATATTTTGCAATTCTACTTAGATTATAGCTTAACTATCTCCTTGGTCTTGTTCTGGAAATGATAGGGAAAGACCAGAGCCCACACTTCCTCCTTCTGATCACTGATCTACGTTATAGATTAACTGCATCCTTTACTATCCCGTTTTCACTCAGATCAGAAGGTGATCTGAACAAGGACCACAAACAAGAATCTTCAGTGTGAAATGTTAAACATTCTTTTCCTGAAAGAAAAGGACTAACTTCATGGATCAGATCAATGTAACTATGCATTAAGCCCTATATAGAGAGACTCTGAAATTTTGTTAAAATTTCCTAAGCTTTGTCTAAATAAATCATCCCAAATTTCTATGCTTTAGAGACTGACTTCTATTCTTTGGAATATGTGCTCCCTGGGCGGGCCTGCCTTCAACCTGTACACTTGAATAAACTCTCTTTACACTGGATTCTGGTTACTTTAGGTTGACCTAGAGGACCTGGGAGGCCCTGTGGGTGGCCAGGGCTGCTTCATCTTCCCCATGCTTTCATCTATTTAACCTACTGAAGCTCTGGTGGACAGAAACAAATAACAAAAAGCAAGAAAATTTTAAAGGTCTTTGGTGACTCAATTCTTAGGATGAACATATAGATTAAGAGTTATTATTTTAAATAAATGTTTACAACTATAAAAAGAACTATAAAAAAGTTAAAACTATCCATAACTTTTGATCTTCTCTTTTTACCTCTCTTTTTTAATACCTAGGGATGTGCTAGCTAAAATAGTTCCAACAATTTTTGCCTAATTCAGGGGCACCATTCATAACAAAGACAACATCCATGGTGTCTCCTAAAGTGTGCCACTCTGTGGACTTAAGGAAGATGCTTTCATGGTGGAGTGGGTCAGTGTTGGCATCTTATCTCTACTACTAACTAGATATATAAGCTATTTAATAATCTCCAATCCTGTTCCCTTCTCTATAAAATGAAGATAATAAATCGTATTTCCAAAGGCTGCTATAAAGATTAAATTAGATAACATACATATGGAAGCTGATATAGGGCAGCACACCAATACCAGTATTAATTCTCTAAAATCACAAAACTCTCCTACTGCATTGTATGTTTACAAAAAAACAATTGTGTCTAGGACTTGTGGCCCATACTATAAAGAAGAGACTGACCAAAAGATATTGTGAAACTGGGAACACATTTCTTTTGCTAAAGATGCAGAAGGCACCCAGAAGTTACACAGGTCAGAATGTAGTGACCCCAGAATCACATATGTTTTAGATTTCACAACTGTAATAACTGGTAGAAAGGAAGACTAATCAGCACACTAATCTTCCAGGGTGTGTTGGCACAACTGATTTAGAGAATAAGCAACTGCTTAAATAAGACAGGCTGCATTTGTTAAGGACATGTGTACTGCCAACAAATTATAACATCTTTAATTCAAACTTTTTTTGCTTTCCTTAGGAAGCCAAAACTTGTCAGTATTTAACTGCACTAAATCTTTTATTTGATTCTTTAGTTAAGAAGCAATTAACCTACACAATAAAACTATAATTTGGAAGTACATATTCTCAAAATCATAGCACTGAAAGACACTCTAGATATCCTCAATTCTAACCACCTCCCATCACACCTGGGAAAACTGAGGTCTGGAGAAGATGGGAAACATACACACACAGTCGCAGGAGGCAGAGCCCATGCTGGCCCTTGGTCTCTTTGTTTCTTACTGCAGGAAACTTGTCTTTAGCTTTATCCAATACACAAACACACAATTTGAAACACTGGACATATGGGTTCCACTTTTAACTTTGCATAATTTGGGGTTCATAAGGCAATGAATGAAACCCAAGGGACTAGGTCAATGACTGACAGAAGCAGTCAGGTGGGGCAGTGTGAGGATATTCAGGAAGGTCAATGAACATAGTAGGGGTCTGTCAGTCTAGGATTTGGGTAGGGGCCATTAGGGTCTATTGAGGGACCATACGTAGAATTATTCTCCGTATCTAGGACACAGCATGGTGACTAGCAGGTAGTAGCTACTTAGTCTTTATTTGTTGTGTAGGGGATGAGTAACTGTGAGTATGCAAGGACCCATTCTCAGAGAAGAAATGAGAGCCGTAGAGGAAGCAGGGATGAGGGACTGTCTAGTGTAGTCCCTTCTGGGAAGAGGAAGAAAAGAGTCAGCAGAGCCATCCCTAAGCTCAGCAGGAAGGAGGGACCCCATTTCCCTGCAAGGACAGTGAGTTTGTGGCCCTTTTGCTCTGTCTGCATTTCCATGCTGAGGGAGAGCAGCATGGGAGAGCTGTTCCCATGACTCTAGGTCTGGTACTGGCCATGCTGCTCGAGATGGAATATGAAGAAATAGAATGTTTGATGGGAGTCTTTCTCCAAGAACAACAGAAGTTTCAAGTATATAATGTCACATTATTTTTGGAGGAAACGGTGCTTACATGCCTACATGTGCAAGCTCCTGATTATGTGGATGTCGATCCGGAAAATGTTTCACAGTGGGATCAAACAATTCTGATCCCAGGCTGGCGGAGCAAAGCCCACCTGAGGAGGGATGAGGGAAACCTGGGATTTCTTGGCCAACTTTCTTTCTAGTCATTGAAAGTGCAGCCATCTGTGGTCCCAAGCCTGGTGTGCTTCGATTTTCTGCCAAGTCTGTTAAGGGTAGACTCCCAAAGCCAGAGTCATCTGAGAGCACTGGTGGCACAGACATGACAGAGAGCTGTAGCTCGTTACATTTTCCAAATAGGTCATGTCTAATATTTTTCACTTTCAAGCCACAAGATATGAAGAAAATATGCACCACTCATGACCTCTTGTATTTTTCTAGGATTAAATTGAAAAAAATCTATAATAATAAGAGTGTGCATCAAGGCCGAAGGAAGACCTTTCAAGGTGCTTGTGATGTAAACAACTTCTTGTTTAAGAGAAATGCCAACACTTTGGTGGATAATGATGAAGAACTGAACAGTGACTTCTCCACACGACAATTAGCAGACTAATGGCAAAATAACAGTATGTTTGTGAGTTGTTAAGACAGAACAGTGGATTCTGCCCTGTATCCATATGAAAGACTACACCCCCCCAGAGAGGTGTGCTGTCTTTAATGTGATCTTCACTTAACATTTCATTAAGACAAAGATGGTGCATTTTTAAAAAGAAAGTCTTTTAAAGCCAAGAGAATAGGCCAGGTATAATGGCTCATGCCTATAATCCTAGTACTCAGGGAGGCTGAGGCAGGAGAATCCTTGAGCTCAGGAGTTTGACCAGCCTGAGCAAAAGTGAGGCCATGTCTCTACTAAAAACAGAAAAATTAGGTGGGTGCAGTGGCATGCACCTGTAGTCTCCTTATCTCAGGAGGTGGAAGCAGGAGGATCACATGAGCCTAGGAGTTTTTGAGGTTGCTGTGAGCTATGATGATGCCACCACCCTCTACATAGGGCAACAGAGCAAGACTGTCTCAAAAAATCCCCCAAATCAACCAAAACAAAACCCACCAAGATAACAGCTCAGTGAAAAGGCCAATATTTTTTTTCCCAACTCAGAGTTGGCAAAGCTTTACCTACAGTATTTGGCATAATTTCAATTCTTTTATAAAGAAATGCCACCTACAAGAAATGTGCAAAGCAACCTCTAGCTGTTTCTCACTATGCTGTCACTCACCCTTAGCGCTGGCTAGTCGCACTCATCCTAACTCAGCTCTATATACCATTTAAGGACTAAATGAGCTCTTACTTGAAAGAAAAGGATAGCATCTGTTGGGATTTTTATATTAATACTTATAAAACATCTTGAGATATAAAAGGAAAAAGCAATCCAGAAAACTGTATTCTGCAAAGGAATTATAGAAAAGGTAGTAAAGAAACTAAACTAAAAGGTTTTCCTAATAAAGGGACAGGTTCTTTCCTGTAGTATGAGTAATCTTAGTTAAGTGGCTAATTTCTTCCAAAAGGACCAGCTTTTGGATAAGAGTGAAAACATCACCCTGCCTAGAATTAACGTATAATGAATGACCTTAGAATGGTTCTCATGCTGTTCTGATTCTTCTCTTGTTTTTGCCTCTAATTATGCTGTTGAACACCTGATTTTTTATGTAAAAGAAGAGAGTAAAGAAACAGGACGACTAAAGTCCCACAAATGTCCACTCACCTCCCATAATTTTGGATTGGCAGTTAATAAACTCCGGCTTCCTGTCTGTGAGGTATCTCTGGCAGGTGTGGTGGAGGATCTGGAAGAAGGTGCATTTCTCTGAGGCTGTGCTGGCTACCCACTGGTCAAAAGCATTTTCAAACAACAAATCAAACTCTGCAGAATCCTGCAAAAGATAATGAAAAAACTACTGATCTTGATCTGTAAAAACTACTGCTCCCAGCCTATCCCTGGTCAAAAGACTCACAAAAGCTAAAACAAAGACTTTGATTCAATCATAAGGCTCATCTTTATTAGCATCTAAGCATTTTGAGAGGACACAATTTTCTGTTTACCAAGCAAATCCTAAAACTTACCATATTTATAGATGTCCCTAGGTAGCTGGTATCATAGACGTTAAGGCAGCCTAAATACACACTGACAGATGCCAGAACTCAGACCACATAATCTCCTCCCAATTACATGGGAAAAGGATTCCTTCAGGTTCTCAGCAGTGACTTATATTAATCTTGCCCCTAAACTTTGTAGGAAAAGATTCCCTTTTATTGCTTTAGTATATAATAAAATACTATTCTTCATTATTGTTTTGTGTGAGAGAAGGGGATGTACTTTGAATCATAAAGTACTTCTCTTATTAAATCCAATAGTATTTTAATACATAATTTTTAAGGTACTATTCATTTATTGGATTTTTGGTAAGTAGACCTTGCCGTTGGGTGGTGCATTAGGAGATAAATGGAGCTTTGATGAACACGGTCTTTTCATACTGATACCATGGATACGATTATCTGAACTCTGCTGGCAAACATTGCTGGAGGTAGCATTTCTTCATTATGTATCCCCTTAGGTCCCTTCATTAAACATGATGTACATATTTGTAATTTCTCATAAGAAAGCTACAGGCATCAGGAAGTTTTAGTCATATAACTGAAACAGAGAAATAGCCTTGTTAAGAATGATTCAACCCACCCACCACCAGCACCACTACCAAGGTCAACCCGAGTCAGCCTGTGAAGAGAATTCCCTTGCTCAGCATTAGACAAGTCACTCACCCTATTAGGATCGATACCATTAACCTGGCGAAGCTGCTCGAGCATCCACTGTGATCTCCGAACAAACGACGTGGAGCCTTCGAACTGCTTGACCTTCGTGATGGACGCCTGCGTGGGTTTCTTGTTTGTCACTGCCAAGAAAAGATCACTCGGATCAGTGCATCTGCAGGTTGGTGGCTTGTTTTCTCATTCAGTGTTGTTTCTGCGAGAACCCTTCTGAGCACGTGGGCCTTGAGGGGGAGGGAGAGACTATAAGAGAATATGTGTGAAGGGTGAACACAAAAGGAAAGAAGTTCTAATCTCCACTCTCGAATTATTTACAACGGAGCTACAATTGTAAGGGCCGGTCCATTTCTGCCTTCATCCGTTCAAACTGAAAACAACTTAACTGAAAACTACTAAGCACCTTTATGGGAGGCTACAAGGGCACGATTGACAGCTTGCCAGGAAAGAAGAGTGCCTGGCTGACAGGCATCAGGTAGGGTGTATTAGGAAAGCTGATTTTGAAAGGAAAAGATGGTTACTGATCCCTCAGAGAACTACAGGACCTATTTCTAGTTTTATAGTTCAGTGTAAATAATTCAGGTTTCAGTGACATGAAATAATAATTGACTAAAAGAGAGAGAGAGAGAGAGAGAGAGAGAGCGCGCACTATGTAGCTCTATAAATTGTCCAGTTCTGTTTATATCCTTGTATCTAGTTTCATATCTAGTTTGCATCTAATTCTGATTGTATCCTGCATTCTGGGCATACTTCTCATGCAAATTCCTCAAGTCACCACAACAATTATCAGGACAATTTCTCCTCCCAGCCTTAGTGAGTTCCTCCTCCAACTTCTGTGCTGAAGATGAACATCATCACCTCTCAGACTGATGGTGAGCTTTCCAAGCTTCAGGCACCAGGACAGAAGCTCCCTAAATATATCTGGGTCTACTTACTCTATGACTTAGAGACTCAAAAGTGGAGAGGTAGGTAAGGGTCTTTGAAGGGCTTCCCTAAAAGCTCCTCCTGACTTCTGGCTGTAGGAATTAGTGAGTTTAAATAGAAAGGATGCAATGAAGGAAGTAGGAAAGTGGAGATCACCACTGGCTGTAACGGAGTCGATTCTACTCATGGCCTTGCTGAAGACTAGGCAGCCCTGCCATAGTCATTCTCTGTCTCAAATTACCCCACAGATTCCATATTTTCAAATAACTCTGCTCAATAGATGTCAAAAAGGTTTCTTAAAGGATGAAGGACAAAAAGCACCTGCTTTAGTCACCATCGGTGCTAAGAAGACTCTGTGGTTTACGTATCCCACCATGTCTACTGCAGTCTCAGTGTCTAGGTCAATAAAGTAAGAGAGGAGAGACCCAGAGAGGGGGAGAAAAGGTGGTCGCTCCGCCTTTTGCTCTCGTGACAACCTTATTTTCCTGCCACTGACAATATCTTTACGGCCTCAGAACTATCTTCTCCTTTTGCTCCTAACCCGAATTTAGCAAAGATTATTTTTATCAACAACTAATGCTTTGGTTTATTACTTATTATTTCAGTTATATTTGGCTCAGAGCTTCTGAATATTTCACACGAATTACATTTACTCTCATGGCTAAGACGTCACCCTCCCCTTAACATCCACAGTCAGTGGAAATTTTATAGTCTTCTATTCACAAATGGGCTCTCTTTAACAGGCTCCGATCCTGCTAAGTCCCATTCGGAATAACTATTTCCCTAACTGAATCTGGGCAATATGACCCATCTGTGCAGGGCTCTGTCCATCGATTTCACTTGATTCATTTATTTTTTGCGTCTCCTATGACACAAATGGTCATGCCCTGCTCTTATATTTTAACGTTAAAGAAAATAACGCACCTGGAATATATGTAGGTCCTAAAATGTGCTTAAAAGATTAAAGAATGCTTTTCAATAACAGGAAACAGGGGTTCCTGTATTAGACACACACCCCTAAACACACACAGAGGATTTCCTCCTTTGTTTATGTAAATCATACGACAGTTAAGTATCTGGGAAACATGAAGGTTTTTCCTTCTAACGCTAGTTAAAGTTATGAACTCCTGTTTTTATTTTTGGTCCATTTGTTTCCAGTTAGTTTACAGCATTTTTAAAGCTCAAACACAAACACTATATACCCGGCATGTGCAGAATTGATATTTTAGGAAGGCAAGTTCCATTGGAAGTTCTTCACTGACATGAGGCAGGCAGGAACCCCACCCACGATGACAAATGTCCCCCCAGAATTTCTCAACATGGTCATGCCATAGGGCAGGCATTTTTAAGGGAGGAAGTTGGATTTCTGTTCATTTCTGTCTTTTTTTTTCCCTATTAGGTTACTCTTAGCCCAGTTCTTAGAGTCTGGCTAGTTTTCCTGGGCAATGAGCCAGGTTTGGTTTCGTTTGGTTTGTGTTTATTGTTATTATCTCCAACATCCTACTTTCTATTTTGAAGCAGGTGCCTTAAAATTACATTATTATATACACATCATATAGAATTAAACAAAGCCGTTCCCCTTGTGAAATCAAACACACCACTACCAGACTGTTTGAGTACCACACTTGAAGAAACCAGGGCTTAACCACTTAATCATGATTTCGGGGTCAATAGCTGATAAAACATAAGTCAGTCACTCAAAATACCAGATGTCTATAAAAATAGAACAAAACAGTAATTTACCTTCTCCTTCCAAAGGAAAGCTAATTGATAGCGCACCCTGGGAATGCAACCACTGTGTAATATCACAGTGCTATGGGTCCAATTACCCCTATGCGCTCGACTCCCAAATTCAATATTTAGAATAACTTGAAAGGCCATATAATCCGGGCATTTATGTTATGCTTTCATCATTCACAAGCAAAAGACAAATACAGAGGCATTATTTAAAAAGGCAGAACAGGTATGATGTTCCCTAGTAACACTGCAGAGCACCCAGGACCAGCCTAATCCCCTGCTTCCTGTGGTGGCATCAGAGGCAGGCAGAAGCATGGGGTCAGCCAAATCTAGGTCATTTTGCTATCAGCTCTGAGAAAAGAATGTGGTCTTCATGGCCCCATGCCTCCCCTTCAGCTTTCATGCAGACGTCATACTACATCTCAGCTATGGTTAAGAAGCAGTGATATAAACCATTATATCCAGAATATCATTACCGTCATTACTTAAAGGTACCTCCCTCATGAATTAAAGGTCTAGAGAGGTCTTTTAAAAAGGGCCTTTCCACGAGACATTTTATAAAAATTAATCGGACACCTGGCTATAATCAAAAAGGGGAATCCAGTGGACTTCTTGTATCCAATCAGATAATTCTATTTAATTATAAACCAGTAAGCCAGGCAATAATAAAGTACCACCTTCGCTATATTAAAACTGGTCCTGCAACAAGTTGGGAAGGGAGGATTGGTGGAAGAGGGAAGAGGACATCGAGAAAGGAAAGAGAAATGCAAGTTATTTGCATGTTACGCAAGCTGTGAGAAGAGCAAATACTCTGCCAGTGACTCAGAGGCTGCTCTTCCATTTCAAGGTCCAATGCTTGAGAGATCGCCTTTTTCAAAAAGCCACCCTCTTTCAGCTGTAATCTCATTATTCACAGCATCATCTCTCATCAATTCTGAAAGGGAAAATCAATTCTGCCTAAGATACACATTATCTGCCTCAGCTTTAAAATGTTATTTTAAAGGAGAGAATCAGCATATAAATAAAATGATTACTTACCACCTCTACATCCTCAACTATCTCATAGTGTGGTACTTCTGTACATTTACTGTCCATGTTGAACTTAAATGGAATCATCTTATAACTGAAGGCAGCTATTTCTCTACACGTAAAATAAAGAAAAAGAAAAAGAAGAGGGGCTGAAGGAGGACAAATTGGATCCTCCCTCCAGCTTGATTTTGAGGGTAGGCAGCTGAAGGGCAGAATTTACTATACCCACATACTGAGGATACCCTAGACCTCCATCAGGCACCGTCCTACAACTGGCTTATGGTTCCTGGAAGGCTAGCAGTTTGTGGTGTGCCTGAGTGCTCTGCTCTGCTCTGCTGGCCAGACATTTTGGCTTCAACAGGAATGTTAACGAGAAACAAATAGTTTTGAGCAAAGAACAAAAGGTATCGTTCACATAGAACCTTATCAGGGATGCTCTTTGGCTGTGCGGGAGGTGAATGACAAAGGAAAAAAGATGTCCTCTGAAATGTGGGTTCAGGAATAAAGACAAGACGAGCGTGCCTTCTGGGCACTGCTATGGAAAGGGAAACAGTCTAACAGGTCAAGGTGAGAAAGGATTATTTGCAGCCAGTCTTCTATTTACTGCTCTTCCAAAAGTTGAATGTGTGGTAATTGGAGGTAGATTTCACAGTATCCATGTGAAATAAATACGCACCTATCAGGCCTGAGCCTGCATCAGCAATTTTATCAGGTAAGATGGCTGAATATTTACAAAGCGTAAAAACAAAAACATCTAGCTTGTTACCTCAAATGCTCTCAGAACAGGCTATTGTCTTCTCTGCTGTAGTTAGTGGGAAATGGAGCATGGTGCTCCCCACACAGGACTGATCTTTTACTTCTCACACTATTTCTCAGTGTGTTATAATTTAGGGACGCAGTAAATGTTTAGGCTCCCAGGCTGTACAACCCACAGCTCCCAAAGCAGATTGACTCATGAGCTGGCTCTGCGACCCTCCCTCTCTCCTCCCCTCCCTGCTTCCCATCTCAGGTACTGGGGGTCTTTGGCCAGAGTCCCGGCAAGATCCAAATGGGCCTGACAGGGCATTCTTAAATCCTCATATTTTAAGGAAGAAGAGTTGTGTGTATGTGTGTTTGTGTGTTTAGTTCAAGGAACAAGAAAAATGGGGGCATTTCAGTTACGAGCGCCAAGCCAGTGGGGTAGAATGAAGGCTGGTTCTCAGCTGTCCCTGCTCCATTCACCCTAAAGCAGAAGGAAGTGGCAGAATCAGTGCACAAGGCTTCCAGGGGCCAACTTCTTCAGTCAGCTGAAGGGATAATTATAAAGAAAGAAGTTTTCCATACAAAAGATTCCTTATTTGGTATCTCTAAACAAAGTACACAGGCTACATATCACATTCTCAACTCCAAACTGGAGCAGGATGAGGGGGAAGAAATAAAGGCGATGATGGAAAGTCTG